CCCAGGTGAAACTGGGGCCCTTTACGGGGACCCTGCAGGGGAGAGGGGACCCAGGTGAGAAGTCCGGGTCTCAGTCACTGAGGGAAGCTGAGCCACCCTCCCCACTGTGTCCCCAGGGAGGTGGGGTCTGGCTCTCACAGGCACAGTACTTGAGGCAGGGTCCTACCTCCTCTCCCAGCACCCTGGCCCGTACCTGCTCATATTTCAAGATGATCCCTGCTCGCTCCTGGGCCCTGCCGGACCTCAGGGCGTCCATATCCAATCTGTAAGACACACACGCACATGTGAGCCAGCACAGGGAGCCCACGGGAACTGCTGCCCTGAGGGCTGTCCCCCTGGTCAGAGGGGGGACAGCCACACAGCCAGGTGGGCGGGCACCTGGTGGTCGGGTCCCAGGAGGATGACTTGTCCAGAGCACAGGGACTAGGGACAGTTGGGGAAGGACAGCCCCCACCTTGCCTCCCCTGCCCTGAGAAAGGATGCTCCTCTCCCAGCCTGGCATCCACGTGTCCTCCAGGGAGCCCAAGTCCAAGGGTCTCCCTGGCCCTCTCCCAGCCCCCGCGTCTCTAGGGCTCTCAGAGCCAGCCTCGCTGCCCCACCTGATACCAGCTGATCCAACACCTAGTCTTGAACCCGTGTCTGACACAGACTCACACCAAGGCCCATTCGACACTGATGACCAGCAGAGTGGGAGGAATGAGACGACTGTATACACGCTCTGCACACAGGGGCCCACTGAGAGCTCAGCCACATCACTCATGGAACCTGGCGTGGGAGACCAGTGCCACCCACCTGGCGTGACCTTCCCCATGTCACAGCTCATGCACAGAGCAAGTCCCACTCACCTCCATCGCGAATCCATTGGATTCTAGCAAAAGTGCCTCCTGCCTACGCTACCAACATCTGGTCAGTTGGGCAGTAGATGCACTACTGACCGCTGGTTGCCGACAACCCAGAGTGCACAGTTCTCAGTGACTGTGATGTCACAGAATCCTGCCAGCCAATCCCAAGTGACACACAGCTCTGGCAAGGGGTCAGGGTTCTCATCCCGGCTTCATAAAAAGTCACCAGAAGTGGGGCCTGTGTTCTCCCCAGGGCCCAGGTGAAGAGGGCAGGGCTCTGGCAGAACTGCCCCAGAACCAGGGGTGCCAGGGCCCTCTGCCACCTGCCGTAACGGTCCCAAGTCTCAGGCAACCTGCACCTCCTGCCCCTCCTTTCTTCCTCTGCAATTTTATTACAGCACAACTGTGAAAGCCTTTCTCTATGAATACAAGGTGGCACAGGGAGCCCCATCATGGCCTGTCCATCTCCCTGAGGTCCCCACACTCGGGACTGCCCTTGCAATGACCTGAATGGAGACTCCCAAGGCTGCAGCCTCCTGTCCTACCACAGGCCCCACCCTAGCACTCCCAACCCCTGCCGACCCCTCCTGCTCTGTTCCAGCCCTTCTTCCCAGGAGTTTTAGGAGGTGGACACCGGCATCCTCCTGGGATGGGGGGAGGGGAGCAGCCCGCTGAGCACCACCTGCATAGGACCTCAAGCCAGCGTGGTCCAGACTGTCCAGAGCGGGAGCCAGGGCCCTGTCCTGACACTGACCATGGCTTCAGGCACAGAGCACTGAGAACTCCTGGGCACCAGCTCCTGAGCCGCACGCTGGTAACACCGGGCTGCTGCTGACCATAAGGACAGGGACAGCATGCATCGGGCAGGAGCAGCCACAGGCCCACAGTTTCCCGGGGTGCTGATCACCGGGACACCCACCCCTGAGGGATGCAGGGGTCACTGCCAGCAGCAGCTCAGCCCTTCCAGCCCCTGGGCTGCTCGTGGTCAGCACGGGCTCTGCAGAGCCCAGGGACCCCAGCAGGGTTGGCCCAGCCTCAAGGCTTCCAGCTTTGGCTGCCTTCCTGCTACTTCCTCGCTGCTTACTCCGGGGAGGGGGAGCTGTCTTCTACTGTGGGGTGCACATGTATTTCTCTATGTGCATCATACGTGTGTGCCCAAGGTGGGTGTGCTCCAGGCCTCCCCCAGGACTAGAAGCTCCACGCCTGAAGCACCCGGTCCTTGTCACTGTCACCTCATGGCATGCAGGCTACACTGAGATGGCACCAAGTGTCCCCCCATTTTCCCACCCCGCCTTGCTGGGCTGCTTTGGTGCAGTCAGGTGGGCTTGCAGCGGGCACAGCCCCATGGCAAGGCGGAATCTGCACTCCTTCAAGAACTCTTGTTGCCTTCAGAGCAGTGCTCATTGGTGAGGCTGACACGATGGCCCCAGGCTGATGGGTTCAGGAGGCACCCGGGATGAATCTGCTCTGGGTGACAAGGCAGCTGGCTGCACAGCCCCTGCCAACCTGGCCCAGCATGGAGGACGCCCGGGGGGAGGGATGAACTCACCTCTGCAACGTGGCTTCTGTCCCCTACTGTCAGGTGACGATCCCACCTGTTGGCCATCTCCTCCTCTGTCAGGACCCTGGAGGTGGATGAGGAACAAAAGATGCACCTGTCTCCAGCCCCTCCCTGCCCTGCCTCAGGCCCCAGGACAGCCTCTCCTGCTCACCCCATCATGGTCAGGGCAGTGACAACCCAAGTCTCATCTGCAGCCTGCCTGGTACCACAGAGTCCAGCGTCCCCATCCCCTGCACATGCACCACAGCACTCTCTGTTCCACTTCCTCGTTGTAAGGAGCCCCTCCTGTGCCCAGGAACCCATGCAGGTGTCCCCCTCTGCTGTCCTGCCCTACCTTGACACAGCACTCACCAACCCCTGGAGAAACTTCTCCCCAGACACGGGGGCAGGAGGCCTCCCTGCACCCCTTAAAGCCATGCGGCCATGGCGTTGTCCTGCCTGTCAGTTTCTTCCCAGTCCTCATGGCAGCCTTGTTCGCCTCATCACCTGAAGGTCACGGGCGTGGGCAGTTTCTCTTTAGTCTCCCTGCCCTGCAGACTTGCTAGCAAACAATAGAATGCAAATAAATACCAATAAGTTGAAAACCATGGGATTCTCACACATTCGGTGTGGAGTTGATGGCCTGTTTAGTCCAGAAAGAGACCGAGGGTGATAAATGCTCATCCCCAGACCTCCTCTTCCACAGCTATCAGGGGACAGAAGAGTTACTGAGCCAGCAGGAAACACCTCTCACACCTGGGGGCCCTGCTCAGGGGCAGGAGCCAAGACTCGGGAGTGGATGCTGTCTGGCCCACAACGCTGTGCATCCGGGAGAGTTGGAGAATGAACCAGATGGACGATTCTCTCTCTCTCTCTCTCTTTCTCTCTCTCTACTGCTCTCTTTATGTAACTCTTACTCTCAAATAAACAAATCATATATATGTACATATATAAAAACATTAATTAGTGGAGCTGTAGAGCCTTTCTATTACTATATATATATATATATATATATCACTACACTGTTACACTGTGTACACATTTTTTTTTCTAGTGAGCACTTGTAGTCTTCACCAAAACAAACTGCTCATGGGCCTTAATACCACTTGTTCAAATTTGAAAGGTTTTTTTAAAAAAATATTTATTTATTTGAAATTCAGAGTTACACAGAGAGAGGAGAGGCAGAGAGAGAGAGGTCTTCCATCTGCTGGTTCACTCCCCAATTGGCTCAGCTGCACCTATCTGAAGCCAGGAACCAGGAGTTTCTTCCAGGTCTCCCATGTGGGTGCAGGGGCCCAAGGACTTGAACCATTTTTCTTCTCTATAATCTTTTTTGTGGCTAAATGATCTTACCTAGTTGTGTATTTTAATTTTCCACTTATTGGCTTTGGTTATTATATTATAGAGTTTTGCTTTGTGTTTACCATGAGTCTTACTAAAACATTTTTGGCTTATCAAAAGCTTGTTTGACATGTAGACATCTTGGCATAAGGAAAAAACAAGGGGCTTGGTCCATGGCATGTTAGGTTAATCCTCTGCTTGCGGTGCCAGCATCCCATATTGGTGCCAGTTCTGGTCCCGGTTGCTCCTCTTCCAATCCAGCTCTCTGCTATGGTCTGGGAAAGCAGTAGAAGATGGCCCAAGTCCTTGGGCCTCTGTACCCACTTGGGAGACCGGCAGGAAGCACCTGGTTCCTGCCTTCAGATCCGCGCAGCTCTGCAGTGCAGCCACTGGGGAGTGAACCAACGGACAGAAGACCTTTCCCTCTGTCTCTTCCTCTCACTGTCTTTTACTCTACCTCTCAAATAAATTCTTCAAAAACAAACAAAAAAAAAAAAACAAGAGATACATACTAATAAAGAACACTAAAATTATACTCCTTTCCTTCCTACATTTTGAATTTTTGAAGTCTACTTTTAAATCTATATTATCTATTATTTTTAGTGGAATTATTATTCTTAATTCTTTTGCTTGTTATTCTTCATACTAAACATATGGATTGTGGATGTCCTTGTTTACAATATGGGAGCATTCTGAATTTGTGTATTTAGTGACTTGTACCAGTGAGTTTTCCACATTCTAATATTTTTTCTTACTCATTAGCATCTCTTTCTTCCAGTTTAAAAAACTTCCTTTCTTGTAGGACAGATCTATAAGACAATAACCTCTCTCACCTCTTGTTTTTCAGAGAATAACATTATCTGTCCTCCATAACAGAATGATAACTTTGCTAGATCCAATATCCCTGGTCAGCAGGTTCTCCAAGAACATTGTGAGAATCACATCTCTTTTCGTGCCATCTGTAAATCCTGCCCTATCACTCTAGAAGTGAACTGGGACAGTCTGGTGTGTCATTCACTTCCTTTCTCTTGCAATGTTGAGCCTCATCTTTTCCCTGGAGACAAATTTGATTTTAATACATCCCGGGATGGACTTGGTTGAATCAAATCTAATTGGTGACCCCATGCCTTCCTGTCACTTGGATCACTGTACCTTTCTGCAGACTTCAGGATGGTTCTGTATTATCTAGTTGTGTGTACTGACTACCAATTTAATATTCTCAGTTCCTCTTGACCCACAATAATGTAGATATGTTTGTTTGTTTTTATTGTTTGAAGGTAGAGAGATCTTTTATCAACTGGTCCACTCTGCAGATGCCCACACAGCTGGAGCTGAGACAAGTGAAAGCCAGGAGCCCAGAGCTCAATCCAGGTACCTCACATAGGTGACAAGGGCCCAAATACTTCAGCTATCATCTGACACCTCCCAGGGTGTACATTATCAGGAAATTGGATTCAGAAGCAGAGCTAGTGCTCAAACCCAGGCACTGCAATATGAAATGTGAGTATCCTCACCAGTGTCTTAACCACTGCACTGAAGAGATACACCAGATGTGTGTACCTTTCAAAGAATCCTAAAATACACGTAAGCCTTTTCATACTTGTTGGAATTTTTTTATTTTTTGCTCCTCCATATGTTCATTTTCAAATAGCCTATATTTGAGTTTACTGCTTCTTCTGTTTGATATAGTTTCCCATTGATACATTCTATCATATTCTAAGTTTTGGTTAGTATAATTTTAGCTTAAAGATTTCTGTTTGGTTTTTGAAAATTACCTTCATTTCTTGAGGGCCGGCACCGTGGTGCAGTAGTTTAATTCTCTGCCTGAGGTGCTGGCATCCCATATGGGCGCCAGTTCTAGTTCTGGCTTCTCCTCTTCCCATCCAGCTCTCTGCTATGGCCTGGGAAAGCAGTAGAAGATGGGGCAAATCCTTGAGCCCCAGCACCTGCATGGGAGACCTGGAAGAAGTTCCTGATTCGTGGCTTCGGATCGGCACAGCCCCACCATTGCAACCATTTGGTGAGTGACCAATGAAAGAAGACCTTTCTCTCTGTCTCTCCCTCTCACTATCAGTAACTCTACCTCTCAAATAAATAAATACTTTTTAAAAAAAGAAAACTACCTTCATCTCTAGTAAGCCTCCTCCTCTGAGTATTGAATAGTTGTGCCATCTTCTCTTGAAGCTTAGTGAGTTGCAATACAGCAGCTCTTTTTAATTCTACATCTGAGAATCTGTACATGTCAGTTGCCGTCTGTCTGACCTCTGAAAACTTACTTTGTTCCTTAAGTGAGGTTGTGGTTACTTGAAAGTTCTTGATGCTTGTAAGTGCACTACATCATCTTCAACTTTAGGGATTGTTTCCTTGAGCCTTCAAATTGTGGCTTTGTTTTTAACTTTCCTTCCAGAAATTCCAAGCAGTCTATTTTCAGAGCATATGGACACTTGGGCTGTTTCAGCTCTAGATTGCAACATAAGTCTGCTGTTGATGTGTTGTCACTGTTTTAGCACTAGAGAGTGCTCCAAGCCCAGGTTTGTCCTAATGCTGCGGTTGGTGTTTTGTTCAAAGTTAACTGAGGAAGTGCCTAAGTAGGGATAGTCTATCATTGCAGTCCTGTTCCTGGTGCTGAGCCAGATGCCAAGTACCACGCCACCAGTGCCAAAATGGCAATCACTTCTGGAGCCCAAGACCCATGCTTCCGGTCCTGAAGTGGACTCACTTCCATCATCCATCAGTGATGCTGTTTGGAATGTAAGTCTGATTAACGTGGGTCACAGGTCTCCACCTGGCACTCCTGGCACTGGGGTCAATCAAGAAGCAGGGGCTTGGGGAAGGGAAATGTTGGGATAGGAACAGTGTCAGGTATTTATCAGACGGGCACTGAGTCACAGGGCACAATCCTGAAATCACTTTGTTTCTCAGTGGCTGGGGTCTTGTTCTGTATTCTTTCCAAGATTGAGAAAGGGATGGTTGAGGCAGTCCCCTTGACACCTCGCTAAAGAGGACACTTGGGCTCAGTCTGTAGCCACTGGCTTGGGAGCAATGGCCCTGGGGCCCTGTCTGGCACCATGTTTCATAGTAGTGAGCCTGGTACTGGGTTTAACATCAAAGGTCTGGGTGCAATTCCTCCTCTCTCCTCCAAGCAGAAAACCAGACACCCCTTTCCCTGCTACTTGGATCTGAGAGGTGGGTATGGCTGTCCTCTTTTCTTCCTGCATTCCTCAGAGTGTCTTTTCTTCTTGTTCTCATGCCAGGCACTGTGGTCACTCACCTGCTTCCTTAGATCCTGTGGTGTGGTGTAGGAATAGCTGTTCTCATCAGTGTCTGAGTGCAGTGCTGACAGCCAGAACATCTTAGCTCCCTCCTGCTGCACCTTCTAGATATTATTTGCTGTACAAACACTACCAAGTTTCAGATTATCAAAGAGGCGAGCAGTGTCAGTGCGATTGTGTCATACACAGGAAGGTTTCCCCCCATGAAGTGATCAGGACTTGTCCCTACCATTCCTTGGAGATCATCTGTAATTTCAGAGTATGAAAAAGATGTCAAGGCCGGTGCCGTGGCTCACTAGGCTAATCCTCCGCCTTGCGGCACCGGCACACCAGGTTCTAGTCCCGGTCGGGGCACCGGATTTTGTCCCGGTTGCCCCTCTTCCAGGCCAGCTCTATGCTGTGGCCAGGGAGTGCAGTGGAGGATGGCCCAAGTACTTGGGCCCTGCACCCCATGGGAGACCAGGATAAGTACCTGGCTCCTGCCGTCAGATCAGCATGGTGCACTGGCCGCAGCGCCCTGGCCATGGTGACCATTGGAGGGTGAACCAATGGTAAAGGAAGACCTTTCTCTCTGTCTCTCTCTCTCACTGTCCACTCTGCCTGTCCAAAAAAAGAAGAAGTCAATATAAAAATATGAAAGATATGACAATATACATGTGATTGTGATGTGTAATTCTGGTGGACATTCAGGCTGGATAAGGGTGACTAGATAGCTTACTGAACATTATTTCAGAGCGTGTGTTGATGGTGGGGGGGATTTCTGGATGATGTAGGTGAATACATAGGTGCTGCCACCAGGGACCACAGCCTGGTCTCATCCAATATTTTTTGGAGGATTTATTTATTTATTTAAAAATCAGAGTTACACAGAGAGAGGTAGAGGCAGAGAGAGAGAGAGAGAGAGAAAGGTCTTCCATCCACTGGTTCACTCCCCAGTTGGCCACAATAGCCAGAGCTGCTGTGATCCGAAGCAGGAGCCTGGAGCTTCTTCTGGGTCTCCCATGCGGGTGCAGAGGCCCAAGGACTTAGGCCATCCTTCACTGCTTTCCCGAGCCATAGCAGAAAGATGGATAGGAAGTGGAGCAGTCATGACTCCAACCAGTGTGCACATGGGATGTGTGCACTGCAGGCAGTGGCTTTACCTGCTACTCCACAATGCTGGCCCCTGGCTTCTTTCTTACAGAGGTGTTTCCAAAGTGTGCCTGTGTTGTACAATGTGTCAGTGCTTCTCTTTATTGCTGAATACCACAGTGTATGAATATGTTGCACTTTGCCTAGCCATCCATGGACATCTGGTTAGCTTCTACCTTTTACTTAATATGCATAATGCTAGTATAAACATTTGTGTTTCAGAAGGGTATGTTTGGTATCTGTTTTCAGTTCTCGTAGGTGTATATTTAGGAGTGGAATTGCTGGGGTAAATGATAACTTGGTGCCTACCTTTTTAAGAAACTGCCATGCAGGTCCAGTTTCTCCAAGACTGTATCGACAAGGGTTGTCTATATTTTTGACAATGGACTTCTTACAGGGTGTCCCCTTGTGCTTTGCATTTCCCTAATGTCTGATGGTGCTGGACAGTTCTTCATGTGCTTGCAGACCAGTAATAAGGCTCTTTAAAACCTTTTGATTATGATATAGTTTTTGCACTTACAGAGGAGTTACAGAATAGTTTGAAAAAGTCCTGTAGTTCCTTCAGTCAGACTCACCAGACATTAACATTTGCCCTATTGGAGTTGCATTCCCATTCGTATTCTCTCCCTTTTCCCTCTCTCTGGTCTTCGTCTTTGTCTACACACATCCATACAAACACACACACACACACACACACACACACACATTTTTATTTAATAATCTGAAAGTAGCTGGACTCATCATGTCCCTTTATCCATGAATACTTTGGCATAGATTTTCTGAGAACACGGATTCTTTTCATGTAATTTCAGTACACTTCTCAAAATCAGAACACACGGCATTGATAACCAGTAATATCCAATCTGTGTTTAGACTTTATCAATCGTCCCCATATGCTAGACCCACAGCTTGCTCATCAGATTTCCTTAATCATATTTATTATTTTTTGAAATATTAGTTATTTGAGAGATCAATGGACAGAGAAAGAGAAGAAGACAGAAAGACAGAGCTACTATCCATGGGTTCACTCCCCAAATGCCTGCAACTGCCAGGCTGGACCGGGGCAAAGCCGGGACCCCAGAACTCCATCTGGACCTCCCCCATGGGCCATTGTCTGCTGTCTCCCAGGTGCACTGGCAGGGGGCTGGATTGGAAGCCCAGGAGACGGGACTCAAGTCGGCACTCTGATATGGGAGGCGGGAGTGCTGGGTGGCGGTGTAACCTGCAGCGCCACAGCATTCACCCCATCCTTGGCAGGTGCACGACCTTGCCTGTCCTGGAGAGTTTGCACCGTGATTTGGTAGAAGAGTTGCCCGCTGTTTCGTGACAGTTTGGGAGAGTTTGCCTGCTTTTCCCTGGGGCTCTATTAAAGCACACGTGTTTAACACTCAGGAACAACAGGCAAAACGTGCTTCCCAGGCATGGTGGGCAGGGACTCATTCCTGCCCCATCATTGGCGATCAGCTCTGTCACTTGGCTAAGGTGCGGCCTATGGGTTGAGGGGTTAAGCAGCCAGGACAAAAGGCAGTACAAAAAATTATTGTAGTTAATAAGAAGTTTGGGGGGTGGGTGTTGCGGTGCAGTGAGTTCAGCTGCTGCTTGGGATCCCTGCATCCAACACCAGAGTGCCCCTCCGGCTGCTCGGCTTTGATCCAGCTCTCTGCTAATGCTCCTGGGAAGAGGGGGATGACGGCTGAAATACTGGAGGCCCTGCCACCATGGGGGACACCCAGATGGAGTGGCAGGCTCTTAGCTTCGGCCTGGTCCAGCCCTGGCTGATGTGGGTATTTGGGAAGAGAATGAGGAGATGGAAGGTGTCTCTCTCTCCTTTTCTTATCACTAGGTTCAGCATAGTGTGTGTGTGTGTGTGTGTGTGTGTGTGTGTGTGTGTTTAAATCAGACCTGAGGTGCGAGATACATGGAAGAAAATTCACCCAAGTGTCTCTTAGATGAGTTTTGCCAAATGTGTAGAGCCAGGTCCACATCATTGACAAAAACTCAGAATGGGTTGAAAAGGGCACACACTTTTTTTAAAAAATATATATTTATTTGTTTACTTGAAAGTCAGAGTTACATAGGAAGAAGAGGAGAGACAGAGAGAGAGAGACAGAGAGGTCTTCCATCCGCTGGTTCACTCCCCAATTGGCCACAATGGCCAGAGCTGTGCTGATCGGAAACCAGGAGCCAGGAGCTTCTTCTGGGTCTCCCACGCAGGGGGAACACACTTTTAAATCATAATTCAGGACTACATACATAACCAGACATGCATCACTCTAATCTTAAGGGACTTGGTCTCCTTCCTCTTGGACACATGCACCCCTAGGAGCCCAGGAGACAACGCTGGTATCTCCTCTGTTGCTGTCACGGTGAGCTGTGGGCAGTAGGGGGACCCACAGAGAAGTCACTTTCCTGGGTACCGCAAGAAGGGAGCACAGTGTCCTTTTCCTTGCTCGACGACCCCCCTACTTACCTGGGGGTTCTGTTGCCTGCCCCCTTTCCTGGGGCACCACCCTGGTGTGGTCACAGGCAGGGCATGCACTGTGTCTCTGGGACCCACTCCCCCAGCTGCCTCTCCTTTGCCCTGGCCCTGGGCTGGATGTTGAGTCTGGTTGAATGGTGGCTGTTCTTTCATGCCATCTTCTTCAAAAGCTGCCATCCCTGCCATGAGCTGGGAAAAGTCTGTTTGGAAGTTAAAGGCTGAGCCTTGAGTCCTTTCTTAATCAATGGCTGTAGAAAGCCCCATCCCTCAGCCCAGGGTACCAGGCAGAAGAGGAAGGTGGGGGAGAAACACACCTCCCTAGCTAATACTTACCAATGCCTTCCCATGGTCGGACAGGTGATTTGGGAAGAAAAAAACACAGAATTGGCCCAGCATCCCATATGGGCACTGGTTCGAGTCCCGGCTACTCCTCTTCCAATCCAGCTCTCTGCTGATGGCCTGGGAAAGCAGTAGGAGATGGCCCAAGTCCTTGGGCCCTTGCACCACGTGGGAGACCCAGAGGAGGCTCCTGGCTTCAGATCGGCCCAGCTCCAGTCATGGTGGCCATCTGGGGAGTAAACCAGCGGATGGAAGACATTTCTTCTCCATCTCTCTGTAATTCTAACTCTCAAATAAATAATACATCTTAAAAAAAAAAAGAACTTAATGTTGACCTACCTTAAATGTTATCATTCTTTGTCTACCTTAATCATTCTTCCTTTGGAAACAGGACAGATTAAATATTTATTAAGTATTTCTCTACATTGGTCTCCCCTGTTTTGGCCAAGAGGCAAATTAAATATTTGTCTACCTTAATCCTTCATCCTTTTGAATTTAAGACAAACAAGATAAGGGCAAGTTCTTGTCGA